CCTGGTACATGTAGGTTGTGACTTGGAAGTACATGTAGGTGTAGATTTTGATGGTCGTCCTCTTTTCTTTTGTTTTACGGCACTTGCATTTCCTGTTGATTGTCCTTTCTCATATCTGATTTTTGCTCGTTTAATGTATGTTTTATTTGTGAGATCTTTGTAACAAGTCTTGTGGTACGAAACACTTTTCTGTAGCAGATTATCAACAGACAAACCACTTAAGCGATCCTTTAATGCAGAGAACTCTGTTTCCTCCGTATGAGCATCGAACATCAGTTGTATTAATTAGTTTTTCTACTGAGGACAAAGAAGGATGAAGCACATAGTTTGTATAATCTGTTTGTCTGCTGCTCACTTGAGAAATGAAGCAAAGTTTAAAATCCACAGTTTTTTGACCTCTTTTTAGATGAAAATTCTGCCATGTTGGTTAATTATGGATTCTAAGCTACATTGTGTTTCCTGTGGGCACTTTTTTCCTGCAAATACAATGAAATGTATATATAAAACAACCTTATATATCTAATATGGAACAACTGCGTCCAGCAACTGCATTTAAGGTAGTTTGCCACCATTTGAATTTAATGTCAGATTTCCATAATATTTCATACAGTACTTATGAATTCATAAAGAAAATTTATGGTCACTGTATTACTTTCACGACAACATTAGGACAAAATTCATGAAAATTAAACTTTTTACCATTGGGTCCTATGGGAATAATATTTCATCATATCTCAAGATTTGCATGGTGACATAGGATGAAAAAATCATATATAATAACCTTGGGTATACGAATTATTGTCATGAAATATTAAAACAATTTCTAGATTCAAAATATTTTTTTATCAAATAATGCTTTACAATGGTTTCCTATGGAGATATTTTTAAAATGGAATTTTTTTTATATTTTATGTAGTTTATCTTTGAAAACATTTCTTCTCTGAACTAAAAAAAAGTTGATCATTAGTGCCATAATGAATAATTATATATCAATTTGGAAATAAAATATTGTGATGAGATTTTGACCGCTAGAAATGGTAGCAAACTACCTTAAACATTGATTTTCAGGACGCCATATTTAATTTTAGATGGTAGGTCTGGCTGAAACTTCACAAAATATAAGATTAGTAGTTATAGGGAAGTTGACATCCATGTGGGAATCTCTACCTGCTCTTTTACAAGAAATAGATGGTGAAAAACATATTAGAATCAGATTTAGCTCGCCCATAATGTCCAATTTACCCCCTTTTTGTAGTGTGGAAGCCATCTTGGATTTCAGGGTGTCAGAAAGAGAGAAAAAAATGACACCCTATTTTTTCTTATGTCTATATAATATTCTAACAGAATCGGGTGAGATTTTGCTTTTACCAAAATTAATACACGAATGTTTAGTTCATGACAAATGAGCCTACACTAAATGTGCTACAATATTGAATCGTATAATTCAAGCGCAGTTTCAAATATTCCAAAAAAATCATTTGTCACGATAAGAAATAAATTGACTCTACCCTCTCTGATTTCTTAAGATTGTACATCAAGCCAACTACAACATGGAACGTCCTGTTATTCTCAGTCAGGCACAGGCGTTGCATGGCAACAGGCCGTCTCCCAATGCTCCACTGAGGGCGGAAGTCTAGTCATTATCAACGACGCTGCAGAGAACAGCTTTATATTCAACAATTACGTCACTGACCCGAATAAAGAATTTTGGATCGGAAGCAACGACTTAATAACTGAGGATATATTCCAATGGCACGATGAGACGTACCTATCTTACAGTAACTGGGCCGCAGGAGAGCCATCAGACGGGTATCACTGTGCTGTTATCGGCGGTAGCTATAGCGACAAATGGGGCACGCGCTCATGTCTCGATGCAGTCGATTACATATGCGAAACTAGAGGTACATTTTATGACGGTATCTATAATTGTTGGTCGAAAAGATGACGTAAATTTTTATATGCGGAGTTAACAAGTACATTCGTGCCGCTTTTTTAACATTTATTATTTTCCCGGCATATATTTTACAATCATTTATATAATTGCATGAGTACATTAATGTTATAGGTAACCTACATTGTCTTTCCTTTTTTAGGTGAGCAAGCGCCCACAGTATCATATACGCTAAATGCAGTAGATCCAGTTGAAGGTAAGAATAAACTGCGGACCACAACGTGCATCGTCTTGCTACTCGTCTGTTCATCAATGTTTCGTACTCTTGTAGTTCTGTTAATTGATGCCGATATTCACTTCTTGCTATAGTTACCCGCCCTCCACGTCCGTTTGTAAAACCGTCCACCGAATGGAACATTGCATGTACTGGTTTGATGTTCATGTTCAAATATGGAGTTAATGACCTTTAAACAAATGTTGTCAATCTTGCAGCAATCCTCCTTCCGCTAGATTAGTTACGACAGAAATTCGATTTATATTAACAGTTTCTCGCTGTTAGAGAGGTTGCCGCTGGCTTTCCTCGAAAAACACGATCATTTTACAAACACGAAATGAAATAATACGTTCATATTTCAGACTACAATGCAAGACAGTTTTTGGATGATGTGAATGGACAGTGGTCTATAACATGCGACGACATTGTACCCAGGTACTTACATCCAATATTACGTTTGTGAAAATTATAGGTATTGGTGATTACTACTTGTTGTAACGATCAGAAGCGGACTTGGACGTGTGTCACACGAGCGGGGAGGGGGGAAAACACTGTGACCATAAAGCTAACATTCCAATGATCTATATATACATACATACATTATAAGTATACATTTAGTATGGACATATACACACTCTCCGACCTAGTGCTCGTTTTGTAAAGTATATTGAGTATATGGTTCGTTCACAGCATTTAATGTATAAAAAAATACTTGTGAATTCCAACCAAATGAAGCCGTGAATGCTTGACTATAAAAAGGCGTACGAAGATTCGTTTTCTGTAAAACCCATAAATCCGGGTCTACATGAAGTACTATAAACTCCGTGAACATATTCCAATGAGAAAAAAGAAATCAACTACAAGCAGAACTATAATAAACATAAACACTCAATCTCAAGACTGGAATTACACTTATTGTGTACGTAGATATTAGCTCACGTTTTAATAATAAATAAATAACTTATTTGATCTACATTATCATTAGACAGGGAGGAAGTGCTTGTTCAAGGCTCAACGTGGATGGTAGAATGTCAGGTAAGTTAACTCGTAAAAATAAACGACCCTGTGTTGTAGTCAACATGTCATTTTCTACATACCAAGTTGTATGCTATCCAATTACATGGCTTTGAACCGGAGAAGGGGATAGTTCATTTAATTTTACTTTCATAATAGTGTTTGTAACTAAAATTAACTTTTCGAGACTGTTGGAAATTATGTTCACTTCAGATGTTGTTCGATCTTCATTAGTTAACGTATACAGCACATGTACAGTTTACAGTGTAATTCTAAACTCGTTTATTCTAGCAATAACTCCTGGTGCGGTGAACGTTATTGGGTGGAATAGTAGTGAATATTATGGGATATCACACAACACAAATGCATACTTGATCAGCAATGACGATGGAAACTCCTGGTACAGCATTCGCAAAGAATTGTGGGATACTGCAAGCGCTGACGTAGATATGGTCGTCTACTCAGTCGTGCCAACAGGTTTGTAACACTTAGCTATAATGTTTTGACAAGATATTACGCACATCCACACTGGTGTAGGTAACCAGATAACAAGTGGCTTGTAGAATCTATGTGGCATTTCTCTTTCAATATTCATAATATGCAAAACATAACACACACTATGGGTTGTCATTAACAGTCGTGTGGCATGGCGATTTAAATTCTGCGCACGGTAAAAAATAACCATAATCTTGCGCCCTTTAGTCGACCACAATGAGATATTGCTAAAATAACAGCAAGGAGTTAGGAAATTGGAGCGCCACATAGATTCTCGCCTATATGTGTGCACAAAACACACAAATATTCACCTTTCTAAGGTGTATGAGAAATAAAATACGTGTCCTCGAATCGACAGTTGCTAATGTAGACACAGGGTAATTCACCTTTGCAATAGCTTAAATACATTTTACAAACACGTGATTAAAGTCAATCTCATACATGTCGCAAACAAAAATTTTGGTTGATTGTAGAGAGGCGTGTTTATGACGTAGCCAGGAGACCTTTTACGGAAAACAACAATTTAATAAATATAACGGGGCTGTCATATTAGCAACATGATATAGCGGTAAATAAACGACAAACGTGCACAATGAACCATAGTTCGTTTAAAAGTCTCCCTTTGTTAATAATTAAATACGTACATTTCATTATTAGACGTTGGCTTTATTGACAAAAGCCGAGTAAATCGATTCTTATATATGTCACGTGATTAATTCATTGAGTTGAATATTATCGCTCGGTGTGACTGAATTGAACTTACTCCCGACTTTCCAATTGGTTTCTTATGCGGATGCGTGTTTTAATTTCAGCTAACCATGACAACAGTGCTGTGATTATGAATGGTACGAAGACCGCTATTTGGCAATGCTCGACCTGTTAAGAAGAAAGACGATATTACACGTGTCTTGTCACTGTATTGTATCGACGTCGAGCCAATCACGCATGCGTTGTTCTCTAATATAACCACATGTCAAGTGTACTACCAATGAAACTCAAATTACAGTGGATAAACATGAGTTGTTATGTAATGTTTATTTGCTTGGAGTAGAGAGGAATTTCTATGACAAGCGTATAATGTGGACGTCTATAAACATGCTCTTTCTTCCCATCCACTCAGCGATGCACGATTACTCTATTACTTGTGTATTAGGTATAACAGTTTCTTTACTTCCCCATGGAAGTACAGAATTTTTACTCAGTTTGTACTTAGTAAACTTCCTAATAATTGCACAAATTCAGTTGTAAAAAATGAACTATAACATGGTCGTATCATTCTTTTGAAATTAATTAAAAATGCATATATTATTTTCTGGTTTGTGTTAATTCAAATGTCTATCAGTATCATGAAAATCGTTCTACGCCCTGGCACGCACGTGATATGTGGTTAAGCGATTAAACTGGTCTCTGTTATCTGACATCATGTGACCATGTGTTTTGTCGGTGGACGGACGTTTCGGCTACGGATGTTTCGGCCAGGGCGGACGTTTCGGCCCGTGGCTCTCTTCTATAAAATAAACGATCTCCAGTACTCTGTGAGTATGTGAAATTAGCGTTACAAGTAATGTTGCCGACATTAGTGAAGCCATACAGGAATATCTCCCAATCTCATCTAGCAAACAGAGGTGGTAACATAAAAAACACTTTTATTGTTCTTTCTCGTGAAATTCACACCTATCGTTATAAGTGTTGAAATCCATTATTTCATAACAATAAGTGACGGTATAAGTTATTTGTTGATTTATATTTGTTCACAGAAATATTTAATACATAGTCTATTACGTGATGTCGGCATAGAGTTGTTTACAGAAACATTTAATACATAGTCTATGATGTCGGCATAGAGTTGTTTACAGAAACATTTAATACATAGTCTATTACGTGATGTCGGCATAGAGTTGTTTACAGAAATATTTAATACATAGTCTATTACGTGATGTCGGCATAGAGTTGTTTACAGAAATATTTAATACATACTCTATGATGTCGGCATAGAGTTGTTTACAGAAACATTTAATACATAGTCTATTACGTGATGTCGGCATAGAGTTGTTTACAGAAATATTTAATACATAGTCTATTACGTGATGTCGGCATAGAGTTGTTTACAGAAATATTTAATACATAGTCTATGATGTCGGCATAGAGTTGTTCACAGAAATATTTAATACATAGTCTATGATGTCGGCATAGAGTTGTTCACAGAAATATTTAATACATAGTCTATGATGTCGGCATAGAGTTGTTCACAGAAATATTTAATACATAGTCTATTACGTGATGTCGGCATAGAGTTGTTCACAGAAATATTTAATACATACTCTATGATGTCGGCATAGAGTTGTTTACAGAAATATTTAATACATAGTCTATTACGTGATGTCGGCATAGAGTTGTTTACAGAAATATTAATATATAGTTGCTTAAGCATATAGTGTTAACTGCTTAAGCTATTCTACAAACGAGAAATGCAGATCTACTGTACAGCTAATATTAAAGGTGCCAGGTGACACGTGAGTAAACGAACACACATTCGCAGAAAGACAAGAATGCTATTACATGCAACTACACGAATAGTAGAAGAAGCAAACGTAAAAAAATCGTTGATTGCAAAACATATTCCCTTTCATTTAGAATAGTTTCACTCCGTGGCTAAGATCATCTTACCATCGAACTCTACTTAGGCCGAAACGTCCGGAGCCGAAACGTAAGGGGCCGAATCGTCCGGCATTAGTTTTGTCTCACATCAAGTGTTCTCTTTGATTTGACGTGTGACGTCATCTTTAAGTTCAATAAGAGTCTTTGTACCCGAGTGTTTCGCCAAACTCACGCACTATACAAAATACAAACATAAAACCAATTGCCACACATGAAAATATGAAGAGGTGGGAAAGTGTATGTCAGGTTGTTTTGTTGTAACGAAAACATACAAAAGGTATTCAACTTTGACAACAATGCGTGTCAAGTCACTAAACATACAAGATTACACTGCAACGAGATTACAGTAAAGTTGAGGGACTGTGCCTAAACCCAACATCATAGCTGTGGCCTGTTTGGGTTATATGAGATTGCTTACTCTCCAATTTGAATCTATATTATTCTCCAATTTCCTATATGTCTGCTTATATACCCGTGTCATCAACGTAGCAAACAACCAAGCATTGGTACTATCTCAGCGCAGTTTAAAGTAAATGGTTGTCCAAATCCATGTTTCATGACGGTTTATGTGTGGAGCAGATTGTACAACTAGAAATTGTAGTATGTTGAAGGTTAAATCTAAACGTTGTGTCTCCAAATCATTTTCTGAAAAGTTAGCTTGGAAACGTAACAGGACGAATAAATTTAGGTATTACCCCGTAAATTCGTTTATTGGAAACGTCAGATCTAACAGTTCGAATCGCCAAAAAAAAAAAAAACGTCATAACTCGTTGTGGTCATAGTATTAATTTTAATCATATCAAATCTGAAATAAATCGGCACAGCTACCTACGGGTAAAGTTTTCGAAGTGACCTTTCATACGAGTTGTCACAAATGGTCACAAAATGCACAAAACTAATTAAAAGCACGTTTAACTAACTTATTAACTTGTGTATTGTACTCAAATACTTAATATGCACATAATTCAAGGTCACAATCAAGACATATTTTGTATTGTAAGCAAGCATGAAATACGGTTATTGACAATTCATTCTACCATGCAAAAAAGCATACATTCACGTTCATGTTATTGATACAGTTTGATGTATGTTTAATTGCAATTTTGAAAAAGTCAATAAAATGCAATAACCCATTGTTCTAAACATGTTTGCACATCATATGAATCAAAAGAATTCGATGTGTGCGGTTCATATCAGTGCTAAAACGAGCTAGATGGATGTTTAAGTAAACACACTTTCTACGGATATTAGAATGAATGAACATATTGGTTTCTGTGAAATTAAATGTATTGTGTTCTTTGAGAGAGTATATCCATACATTTAAGGGGTGTACCCCGATGTGTACCAGCGACGAAATCAACGCACCGGTGTAATCTGTATTTGTACGGCAAAGAATTTATTATCTGCTAGTACTTCACGGCTGATCGTGGTGGAAACTCGACACTAGGAGAACACGGAAAATGTACAAACTGACCGTTTCGTGGTGTACGTGTTTTATTGTGTGTACGATAGTGACGAATTTATCGAGTGTTACAGGAGACGATCGTAAGTAAAATATTAACATTCATTTAATCAAACACTAACACAGATATCTATTGACACATATTTGCATACAATCTTGTACGATGAAATACCCGGCTTTCACGGTAACACGGCATTTGCAATTTTACACTTTCCCATGATATTTTATGTTTCTTGTTGGAACAGGTTTATTGAGGTTTTGCGTCTCCAACCGGTTTTAAAGTGACGGACTGACATGGTCGCCTTGAGTTTTCGGTTACCACAATAACATACGCCACACTATAATTGAGGCAACCACTCATCCCAGTATTTCACTGCACTCGAGAAATCGTACACACTAAGTATATATCAAACAGCGTTGTAAAAACTTGATGTATCAACATAATCTAGCCGCCGTGTTTACATCCTATGACTTGTTACCGTTCTAACTAAATCACAACATTTGCAGGAACGTTAGCTTTATACTACACAGGATATTAAAAACAAATATTGCGAACTGCGACAGGAAAATTCTCTTCAATTAACTTACATAACAGTCAATCAATATAATATACTGTGATATAAAACACGGCAAAACATAAAGCATAGGCAGTGGTTCAGCGTAAACAATTCACCAATATAGGTAATAATACCGGTATCTTTGTGATCAATCTAACTAAGCATATATCCGCGACATACAATGGTTGTGGAGTTTTGTTTTGCAGGACCAAAAAGCAAATGGCAAATAATAATACTGAGCTAGTAACATTCGAGCAACTGGTCCAAATTATGGACATTTTAATATTAGAATACCACCGTTCACTCGCACGAACGTCTGTGATTAGAAATTACTCTCTCCTCAAACTCGTTTGATATACATGAACATAAATGTTAAAGGTAGTTTCAAATAGGGCGCGATGTATGTACAATTGTGTACTGTTAGTTCTCGTTTCCGTTATCATTTTCTGGACGCATCCAAACGCTTGGATGGAGTTTAACTGTTTTACTGACGTTTGAACCATATCACGGCCAAGTATACAACTCAAATTTACACAAGGGCAACCTGGCGTTTGTATATATTATACAAGGTGAGGTCACTGTTTTCTGTTTAAATTTTGTTGCGCGTTAAATAATCCACTACCTAATGCCCGTCACAAAATACCGAGCTAATGACACAGTTAATCATGATTTAACGCAAAAAACTAAGCTATTAATTGAAAATAGTATCTCCAGAAAACTCGCATATTAAATGAAAGTAATATTTCAAGAAACTTACCTATTGTAAGTTATTACGAGGTCATGGAGCAGGGTTAAATATTAACGTAAAACACACAATACTATTTCTGGAAATACTTCAATCTAACACATACAAAATGGCAAAATTGCAAAAATGGACACGGCATGTTTTAGAATAAGTAGGATCTACCAAAGCCGTTTGCGAGTCATGGCTAGCAATGTTTGACTTGCCTGGTACGTAAGTGTGGCAGTATATTCTCTCAATACTTCCACATCTTCGATCTGAGACTCGGTAAGTCCAGTGGCCAGATGTAGATCCTGAATGGTTACTGTCCCCTGCAAGCAGACTGATTTCTTCTAGTCGACATTCAGGTGTTCTAGACCACTATAACATGGTCAGTATGTGGATTGTCAATCAAGTCAGTAGACACACACTGGGATGAACCTAGTGTCAGTGTATACGTTTATGTTTAATTGGTCGTCAGTAGACTTTCTTATCTCGCACTTCTTCAACAGATTGGCATTATACAGTTTATTTATACTATCCTTTTCTATATGATTGTCATTCCGCCAGCCCTTTTCCTTAACACGGTATTGTCATTGTCATTGCATTTGCAGCTTGTGCCATCTCACCCACGGTAACGTACATTTTCCAAAATCAACCTGATACCGAGCATAGGACTTGCTTAGTTTTATTTGAGCCAATTTGCAGGTGTCATCCAATCGATTCTATAGGTCAATGATATACCCATATGTACCTTTAATTTCAGGATTAGTGAATTATTTTGTCCATAGGTCTTGCAAGGTGGTCAGTGGACGTCTCTGTTCTCCCATACAACAGCTCGAATAGAGAGTATATGCATTTGAGCATGTACTTTTGTTTGTAGATTGGCAGGTGGAATACTATCTCACTTTTGACTCGAAATCTCACAAAGTGATGAGGTCAGGCCAAATATAAACCACGTAATAATATTCAACCACACGTAATCTCCTTATAATAAATAAATTCGTCTCTTATAATTACAATCCAGACACAACAATATCTACAGAAAACATACATATTAAGGAAAACAATATAGAAGAATTGCCCTGACATAATTAAAGGGTTATATGAATAGGATAAAAGTTCAAGTGTAGACGTGACAAGTAAAGAAACAAAGGGAAAACTGGGATTAGGAATTTAATATTCATTATAAATTGTCTCAAATTGCCCAATACATTTCTGCTATTGAGTCATGTACTATTCTGCGGTTAAATATATAGTTATAATGTTTGAACATGTAAATAAAACAATAATGCCGGAATATAACAGTATTCTAATTTTGCACTTCTAGATAGAACTATCAGAACTAAGTTTACCGTTACATTAACGTACATTAAATGGTATTGCCAAATGCCGTTATCGGTTAGTGATTGTTTTAATGACCAACATTATTGAAACATACATGTATCCGAGTTTTTAATTAGGGATACATCTTGATGTCGTTCTCACGTTTGTCCAACCAGTCGTAGCAACAGTTGTCAATTTGACTTTACCATGTCGAATGCTGATATTAACGAATGAAATAAATATTTTATTTGTAAATTATTTTCTTTGTATCGGCATTTATGCTATGTGATTTAGTAAGTCAGTTAAAATAGTTATTTGAAATTGAAAATAGTTGAGATGATTTATCTAATTCAAAAATAATCGTTGACATATCCTGTCATTCTGTAATGAAACATAAAATCTATTTTCAATTACCAGCTTATGATGCAGACGGGATAGTCACTGTGGTTGGAGAAAATGGACCTTACGAAGCAGGTGAACAGATCGCCTTCGAGTTTGATTTGAACATTACGATAACAAATCAGCTGAATTTGATGGATATTCGATTCTTTGAAGATGCATATAGACTTCAAGTGAGTGAGCGAGATAGTGGGTGGCCTATCGCTGTTAAATATTCGTATGATTGATTGTAAAATGTTAGTTATTGAGAAAGCGTTAGTTTGTATGTCTGTCTGTCAGCGGGATAATTAGAATTGCTGTCGATCATTTAAGACTTTTAAAAGGGGTCGCAGCAGGAACACAGACCAATTTATTTAATGTTGGCAAGATCTAGGGTTGTCAAGGAGACGGCTATTGTTGGATAGATTATTCGCTTTTGCCATACTATGAAAAAATGAAGGAAGATTTTGGTGCGACCAATATTTGGCTACATTCATTATGGTATTATTAGAAAGATTTCTACCAGGTTGCCAGATAACCAATAAAATGATTGGTGACGGGTTGACTCGAGCGAAAGATCAATTGATTAGAAAGATCTGGACCTAGTTTCAATTGAGACAGAAATATTCAGATTTTTTGTTATCGTCAGAAATATTCATTGCAAATATGGCATGGCGTGGCGGAGATTTGCGCAATTAGTCTGAGTACCTTCTATATTGAGATTTGAAACACACAACTAATTTCATAATTGCGAGCAAAATGCTGAAGTGTTATTTTTGTTTTGTTTATAGATTGAAGACATACAATATTCCTGCAACCCTGAGTGTACCTCGGTAAGTAGTTCCCCTTATACGTTATAACTTCAGATCGCACAGCAATGATCATCGGCATGGAAAACAAATATTGACATATTACACTGGTTTATTACAGATTGTCCAACTGGGAGACGGTCATTTAACAATATTGAGAGTTTCTGACCCTCATACATTTCGATTCTACGGAACTTTGCTCACTTCAACGTCTGGTAAACCTTTTTTTTTATATAACTTTAAGTAACTAGATCGTCTTGAAATCAACTACATTTCGCCATGATATACACAATTATACAAAATGTACATTCACTTGATTGACCGAGTCAAACTGTTTTAGTCTCTCATGGTAGTTGTTCCGATATTGACGATTCCTGCGATTACACTCTGGATGGCGAATGCGATGACGGAAGCGAGGACTCTGACAGTAATTTCTGTGTGTATGGTACAGATTGTACAGACTGTAATGGGAACAAAGGTAAGAACAATAGTTACCATGACTACAACTGAGATAGATTTTTTTAGAAGACTCATTTTAGAAATTCGGATATTTTGCATAATAACGTGTGGATTCGCCGTGATTATTTCACGTTTTCATATTATCTTTCATAGTCGGACCGTGGTCAGGGTACCAATACAAATTGCTCATTCAGCTGAGAATAATGGCGATTCCGAATATTTTCTACATGGACTTCATATGTAAATCTGCATTTGCAGCCACACCGTTCTTCGAATTTTCGCATGTTGGTCCCACCGTTGATGGCGTTGCCCCTCTTCAGATCGGTGAATCGGCGACAACGACATTAGTTATGGCGTTTCCCAAAATATCACTGAAACCCTGGCAAATTGAAATTGGGAACGGCTGCGGGGACGATGAAATTTCTGCGTTCTCAGTGATGAATGTTACGGTCGATCACTTGGGTAGCAACGTGCCATGTCCTGTATCAGGCGAATTGGGAACGCATGCTAACACGTGTACCGTGGACCTGACTGACGCGATCGCATATGAATCAACATGCAACAACACACGACATGATTACGCCGTTGTTAGTTTCGATGAATATATATCGATCACCGCTGGTGACGTCATAGACGACACAAACAAGTTGAGTTTGGACATATCATTTAGAGTGGAAGATATGGAGTTTCTGAACAATGAAACCGAGCTATGGATTGGTGTAGGTATAAATCTGGCAGGAAGTCAAATATTTGTTGCTACATTACCGGTTGCTGTGGAGATAGCAGAGGACAGACAACCGAAACTTCATTTTGAGGCGCTGTTAATGAATCATGGTGACACATATCAAAGAGGGTGCGTGTGATCTATTCGCATTTCCAGAAAGCTGAATAATCGATGCATGTTATTATGTTTTTCTAACAAAAAACTGTCTTTAAGGCAGTTATTATAGATAAAAAATGACCCTACTGTCTCAAGGCTTGTCTCCGTATACGTAGGACGCCCTCATTAATTACATTAATTGACACCCACCGCTAAAATAATCGAAAATAATCTGATTTATTTTCAGGGACGATGTCAGATTCAAATATTTAGTATATCATGAACAACCGTTATCACGTGCTTATGGTTATGACGTCACAATCAATATGGTGTACACGCCCTGGCTTACTTTCACAGAAATCAGTTACTGGAATGAGAACTCCATGCCAACTGAACCAACTGTAACATCTGGAGAAGGTAGTCAAATTAGAATAAAAGTAAGTCTGTCAAGATATTATGTTATATAAGTAAATTGTTGGTTAGTGCACGGTTACTACTATATTTTTTAGTTGATGAGTGGAATTTTAGTGACGAACAGCTGGTTTTGAAATAGCGGAATAATATCGTAATAGTAGTCACCTTGGTCTTTACTAATTTTCTATTATAGCCTATACTTTCATGCAACAAGACAAAAGTGGAGTTCTTACGTCATCTCTTCTATAAGTAAATTACGTCTGCTTACATGTGTACATTGTCGTCTAGGAGTTTAAATTTTGTATGAAATCTGTGACAACCACCAATACTGAACCGCCAAATACCCCGGATGTGCCTATTGTGATGATTTGTAATTAAAAATATTACAGCCCAAATAAATCACTGCATTGCATATTATGGTAACATGGTTCAGGTTTTTTTATTAAATTGTTGTACCATACGACAGTTACAATGGGTCACTGATGATGACATTTTCAAATTCAAGTCATGATAACCGTAAATTCATTGCATTTTACCAACATACGAGTAACAGGTGGTAGAGTACATGACAGGGTCGTGCGTCCGTATAAAATTCACTGTGTCTGAATCTCGGCCAGTAACGTACTTGCCTCAGGCATGGGTCGCTTGTTCTTTGATGTTCAATCTCAGGTGGGATTTTACTTAACTACAAAACTGGCAGTCTGAAGTAGCTTACTGGTAATATCTGAATGGTAATATATTGCTTTACAATTGCAGGTGGGAGATGTAACTTTCGATACTGTCATACATTTGGAGATTACTTTTAGGATTGGCGATAACCAGGAACAGCCAGCCGGAACGCACACATTTGTCGGACTATGTGAACTTGTCTACAAAGATTCCTGTGACTCGATAGGTTATCATTCACAATCCCCACAATATATCGTATTTGATTATGTTATACCAGGTAACTAAGAATCAATTTTGTTATGTCTGTGAAGGTATTAATTAAGACATGTACAATAACATATTACGTGGAATATGAAGTTCACCTATGATGTGTAGGTGGTTGCACGGCACACCTATCCTGTTGACGTCACGGAAGCGGGTCATCGCTAGGAGGCGCAACTTATTTGGAAGGACTTACGCTACGCCCCCATATGACAAATTAGTCCAAATATGACGTAACTTTGTGTTATGCAATGTCATCACACTCAAAACTCTGGCGCTATTACTTGTGCTATACTCATTCTTGCTTTCACCACTGCCACATCGTAATTTACATATCGAAGCACAGAACCACAGGGAGCCCAGGAACTATAATCAACTGTAATACGCAGTCTCTATGAGCGGGGGGGGGGGGGTATCGGCTGGTATCTAGTGTAAGAAATAGACAAGGGATGAAGGCTCCAGCCAGTTCACATTTTTTAAACTCGAAGAAACAAACGAAAAAAATCTAAAAAAAAATCTAAAAAAATACCAGGTTGAAGAATATTAGTTGCTCCTTCGAATTTCGCCAAAGCCTTACCTACATTTTACCGATATCTGCAGAATAAATCA